AATTCTCTTTTTTTTTTTAAATACAATTCGTTGGATTCATGCATGTTCTTTTGCTGATTATTTGGTACAACTGAATTAATTATTTCAGTTGGTAGAATGCTGGTCACGTGTATAAAAGGTCATGGGTTCAAGACCTAGAATTTTTATTATTATACCTTTAACCTTCTTTTATGCTTCTTTCACTCTACCATTGTAGTTTTATTATAACAGTGAAGAAAGGTATTATAAATCTGCTTCATCCCTTTCAATTTAAATCATTCTACAGAAAAGTTTAGAATTTCTACATTTCTATACATCATATATTGCAAATTGCTATCATTTTTATTTTACTTGTAATGGTCCAAAAACATAACTAAAGTCTTAAAATAATACAAATAATCACTACTTTCAAGTAAACTATTCCACGAGATAACAATTCTGAGATGAAAATAATTAATCTCCATAATAAATGTTAAACCAAGTTTTTAAAGTGCATTTCTAATATGTGCGAGTTATTATTACTAACAATCATACACAAAAATACAAAATTACTTTTCAAAACTTTTTATCTATCAAATCTCCTAATACTTTTGTAACAACTGAAATAAAAATCCTTTTATGCAATAGTGAAAATACAAATGTCTAGGTTTATCCTCAAATTTAAATAATCTACCATTGTACAAGTATAAGTGTATAACTGCTGGTAATGGTAGAATATTGATTGTGAATATGGTGAAGTTATTATTAGACAAATATATATATATATATTTATAAATTTTTCATTACCTTTTCTCTCAGAATGGAATTAATTAATAACAAAATTCTACAAGGGGCAGAGATTTTCATTGTCTGGAGTAGAACTTTGCCAAAGCACTATTCCATATTAATTATAAACTCTATCTTGTCCATTAATATAAAAAAAGTAACAAAAACAATTACTAATGACAAATAGTACTGATCAGTAAAACTCACACCAGGTCAATACACAAGGAAAATACTTTAAGTTAATAAAGCCATTCATACTTCAGACTTACTGTCAGTGTTAGTATTATGGTGTGGTTTAAGTTAGATATTATAACATATTTTTCTTTGTTTTCATTCCCAAGTTCTTTGAGTTCTTAAAATTATACAGTAACATACGTATGTGAAATTGGAAAGTAAATCTTTCACTTACACATACTTATAAAACTTTATTACAGATTTTAAGCAAGTTTCCTTTCAATGTATTACTATTAGGCCTTGTGCAAGTATAGAATTTAAAACACTGATGAACTTTGACCCTTACTATTCTATAACTATATATATTTTATTATATATGTGTATTACTAACTTATCACATTATTCACAAACAAAATACTTTATAATAAGACAAATGCATAAAATAAAACTTATCTTCTACCATAAAACTTTATGAGACAAACAAATTTAACAATATGCTAGGTTCATGTATTAAAGTTTGTTTTCATATAACATATAACTACATGAAGTCATTGCATTAATTACTTTATTCTTACAACTCCTGAAAGTTCAACTTCATGTATGATTTATAAAACAATAAAAACAAAAACCTGAACAATTAAACTCCTCGTTATCAATATTCTTAGCACAACAATCCCTTTTTGACTCCAATGAAGTTCTTCACTTCATGACATTTATTTTATCTTTAAATTCTGAAATAATTTATCACCTGTTACGTTCCAAATTACAATGAAGTAAGCATTATAATACGCTTTATATACATGTCTTTTTCTTACCTTACTCACCCCCTTTCCCAATGTGAACTCAAACATATCGTATCAGGAGTAGACAGCCACACGTGATGTACGTGTGTAGCGCTTACAGAATCTTCTGGTATTGAGATAGGAGCAAAAAAACGTATACAGAAATAATAGTGAGAGGTTAAAATCTACAGTCCTTTTAAAGATGCTTTTAAAATTTCACTGTTTCTCATCAGTAAAATCAATTTGTGGCTGCATTATGAATTTGTAAGTTGGACATACCATGTATTAGCAAATTATACTCATAGTCATAGAGTTGTTGCTGCGTATCTGCTTGTTTGTTAATTTCCAGTAGAAATTCTTTCCGAGAAACTTCAGCGATATAAGTCCTTTCTTGATTAAAACTAGTTTATTCTTTCTCGATACAACTTTTTGTAATACACAGAATTTCCACAGTCACTTTAAACTTAACAACCTTTATAACACATGCTATAAATCACAGTGATTCACACACTTTACAGATGGTGCCTACTGTTCGCTTGATCCAATTAGCTATCTGCTGCTGGCTTTCTTTGCCAGGCTTATATATTAAAAAAGAGGGCATCTCGGTCAGACTAGAGTTGCCGGGTACATTCATGATTTTTCAACAAACTCCAGCGCGCATGCTCCCAGCATCACGTGACTTCCGCCGTCATAACACTGCCCCTTCCTTAGTATTGTTCATCCCAAACAATAGCCACTTACATTTAACCAATAGATTGGTCTTCCTGGGATTATACAATCACACCTTGTCTCCTGGTACTCCAATGAAGTTATATCAAGTTGGTGCACCAATAAAAAGAGTAGCCATTGACATTGCTCGTCCTTTGCTCCAAAATCGTGCTGGAAACAGGTACATTTGTGTGGTGATGGACTATTTCACCAAGTGGCCTGAGGCATATGCAATACCAAATCAGGAAGCTACAACTGTAGCTTTGACTATTGGTGATTTCTTCTTCAGGTTTGGTATGCCATACGAACTGCATTCAGATCAAGGCTGTAACTTTGAATTAGCTGTGTTCCATGAATGCTGCCAGTTGTTTGGTATACGAAACACCAGAATAACGCCACTTCACCCACAGTCTGATGGGATGGTAGAAAAGTACAATTGGACACTGGGACAGGAATTGACAAAGTTTTGTAATAGCTGCCAAGATGACTGGGATATCTTACTCCCTCCACTGTTGATGGCCTATAAAACAGCAAAGCATGAAGCCACTGGATACACTCCAGCTAAGCTGATGTTTGGTTGGGAAATTCGGTTGCCAGTGGACTTGATAACAGGACGCCCACCTTATAAAGAGTTGTCCGAAAATGTGCCAAAGTTCGTGAAAGTGTTATCTGAAAGGATGGATG